AAGAAAGGGAATTGCTCTCTTCCAAGAATTCATGTTTCATTCATTTGGAGGAAAACAAAAATTTTTTTTATTAGAGGGAGGAGGAGCAGAGTGAATCTCAGGCAGATTGATCACGAAAAATTTTTTTTCATGATATTTTCCTCAATATCTTCCGGGACCTCGGCCCCAATATCGGAACTGGAATTAGCATCCGACTGCGGCCCCCCTGCGTTCCTCCTGGAGCTAATAAATCGAACAAAAGGCGCGCCCCCCCCCCCCCCCCCCCCCCCCCCCCCGTTGCCCGCCTTTGCCCCCTTTCTGCCCCTTTGCGTCTTTCTGCTCAGATGAAATTCATCTTCCGTCGCCCCGGGTGGCGTCGATGGCGGTTCTTCGCGGGAGCACCTTGATTTTGTCCTTTAAGGTCTAAGATATGGAACTGGGGCGGCGTGGGTGCCTCGATCCCCTTGCATGAATCCATGCCAGTGGAGCATGAGTCATGCCTCATGCCTGTTAGCCATTACAGGATGTGTAATGGTTAATAGGCGTATGAGCAGGCGTGGTTATGAATAATCACTGTCCAGGGCAGTTCTTGGGCTTTATTTAGTAATGCGTGTAAATGCTATTTGAATTACTGCACTAATGTGCATTAGTTAATTATTAGTACTCGGATAATTACTCATCCTTGCTTTTTGGGGCCAGAAAAATCAGGATTATCGAATTATTGAGGAAGGAGGAAAGGTTTGCCCGATCGAGACGATATCTATCTTGCAGAAAACGCAAAAGAATCATTAATCCTGATTGCTTTTTTTCTCCTTTTATTTTTCTTTTTCCCCTTTTTTTCCTGTTTCTTGGGAGCAAGGGTCTCTCTCTCTCTCTCTCAGGGGAAGGATTTGTGTATGGAATGTGATCGGATTGATTGGGAACGATGAGCAATCCTCGTCGGATTTCCCCGAACGGAACGGAACGAGTTCCGTTCCTTACCCCGGGTATTGATTTAATTTAAACATGAAGTAATGGGAAAACCATTTCAATGGCGTGGTGAATCCGTGGTCTTCGAGACATCTCGTTGAGGACGTGGACTCAAAATGTCTCAAAATAAAAAAAAAGCCAGAAGAATCAGACGCCGATACGAAGGTTGAAGTTCTCTCGAATCTGGCTCAATTTCGGTACGATATCCGGCAACACTGGGAGATGGGACCGGAGCCAACACGCTTAAGCCTGAATGAACAACAGCTGATTTCATTTTTTTTTAATGGTGCATCGCAAGCAGCAAAAAAGGCACTTTTCGTCGTCTACAAGGTAATTGAAAAAAACGAGATGGAGTGTTCTCCATAACCCCGAGGAGATGGAGTTGCAAATTTGCTGGAGCGATTCTGTGTTGAGAGAAGAAGAAGCATTTCGTTCCTGTTGATGCTCTCAGAGAGGAAGACGAGGAGGTTCAATTTGGTTTGCGGGAAGGGGTCGAAGGGAGGTAATAGGCGCTACCGAGGTCTATTGATTTATTATATATTACTATATATATATTTTTTATGCATTTGTTTGGCAAAGCAGGAAGGCTTCATCCCGCCATAATCAATTTTTTTTGTCCCTTGTCTGCCGCGCTCATTGCTTGCAAATTTGATTAATTTAGCTTGAACGAGGCAGTTCCGAGGCGCAAAACGGAATCCCGCGGCGAGCCGTGGGAGGGAACACAGAAGCCCTTTTTTATATTATATATATATCCGAGGCCCTCCGTGTTGACATCCGTGACCGGATGTGTTTACCTGAATCGGGACAAGTCACGCCATGGCCTTGTTCTGCCCCACTCGCCTCATCTGTCCCCCTCCACACTCGCCCCCCTCCCCTCGCCCCCACTTGCCCTCTTTCGAGTGCTTCGCCGCGTTCGTGCGGAGTTGCAGCCCTCGTGATCATCGGGGGAGGTATTTTCCCTCTTTAACTTGATTGCGCCGGAACTGCATCGGATGTGCGCCGGATCTGCTGCCTCAAATAATCGCGGAGCCCTTCTTGCGTCTCATTTCTCTAATTTGGTTTCAAATTTCTCCTATTACCGGTGATCGTCGCGGTTGCTGGCATCCCGGGTGATTTCCCCCTTTGACAAAACCTTCCTGTTGGATTCTCGGCGCACCTCGTTAGCAGCGTCCTAGCATACCTGGAATTCCGGGAATTCCCGGAATTCTTGGTACGGTAAAAAGGCTTCGATCGAAGCTTTTGATCGAATTTACTGCGAAACGAGTTCATCGGTGAGCTCAGGATTACCCCTCAATAGCTGATTACATTGCGACTCCTCGGATCATGCAGTAAATGCATCTCTGCAGGCTTCAAAATGACGTCATAACTCAATAGGGCTTGATGGGCTTAATGACATTCAGCCGTCGTCGATTGGCACAAATGTCTTTTCAAATCAACTTGGATTGATCCAAATCTTAATCCGATTTAATCCAATGCTTAAGACGAAGAAGAAGGCGATGGGAAGCGGAGACCATTGCCACTAAGACCTTCGTTCCTTTTCATCACTGAATTTTTTGGATGCATAATGATTTCATCGTTATTTTGTCGAGTTATTTAATTTCTAAGTTAGTCATTAATTCAAAATTTCGCGTTGTGAAAATGGTATTTTGTTTGTAATCATCATTCAATAAATGCAATACGTACGATGTAGGCAATACATGCAATATTTGCAATAAGTTATCTCAATCATTCCATGTCGCTTTCTTGTGGCAAGGAAAAAAGTACATAATATATGTAAATATGTTGAATTCTGAACTCCGATTCTTCTGGAGAAGCACCATGGGAACCGTGATGTTTAAAAAATTGTTTTTGCGTGGTCCGTCAACAATAGAATTTCCTCACACTTATTGTTTATTCATTTATTTATTTGGTTGTTTATTCAGCTATTTATTCACGGAGTCGTGTACCCAAGCATAATTTTATGCTTTGACGGACAATAATGGTATAAAAATTGAAAGGTTAATGAAATTTTCTTGCCTTTCTTGCCATTTTACTAGCCATTTTTTGCCACCTTGCCCTTGCAAGCGCCTTGAAAATTTTCTTTGAAGAAAACGAAGCCGCTTCCTGCACACGACTGGGAATAATTTGCATAACAGCCAATGAGAATATTTTATATTTTAGCCCGTGGGGAAGCGATTTAAAGGGAAACTTTGGTTGGGGAGAAATTTTCGCGCATCCGGCCGTGAGTACATTTTTGGCGCTAATTCTCACTTTCACACTATTGCACTTTGTCAATGTGAAAAAAATTAAAAATTGAGGAAATTCTTTTTCCTATGCTTTTCCCGTTTATTTACTTATTTATTAATTATTTTTTTCCTGTCCCTTGGGAATTGGCGAAGGCGTTCCAGCATGGAAATCCGGTCCTTGACGTAGACCGAGAATTCGAGTGCATCGCAGGCAGAAGAATATTAATATTAAGGCAAATCTTTCGAAATCGAATTTAAATTTGATGGGTTGAAGTCTGGTTTAGTGGCATAAGTTTCTTGTAATAAAAAATAATGAAATAACCTATATATAAATTACCTATGTGTTACCCATATAAAAATAAATATAATAATCGTCTTAGGATGTTGTTTTTAGGAAAAAAGAGGAAGCAATGTGATAAAGAGATTGTAAGACATTATATTAAGAAATTGCAAGACATTACATTAAGAGATTGCGAGACATTACATTAAGAGAATGCAAGACATTACATTAAGAGATTGCGAGACATTACATTAAGAGATTGCGAGACATTACATTAAGAGATTGCGAGACATTACATTAAGAGAATGCAAGACATTTCTTCTCCGACCTACAATTCCGTCTCCATCCGCCGGACACCTATAACCTGTCATCCGCAGGGATGAGCCCCGCCGTCATCCACTGCATCGATCAAGCTCTCGTCATCCCATTATAATTACATCCAAGGGTGGGCGTCTCACATCGGGGGGGAAGGAGGTCGCGCTCGTTTTGGCACAAGTTTTGGTGTGGGATTACGATCTCATTTAGCCCTCTAATGAGCCTCCGTCCGTTCTCATTCCGGCGATCCTCGTCTGATATTGGGTTGAACCTGGGTTGAACTTGGGTTGAACCCGAGATCGTCCTCGGGGTCGTTGATCTTGATCTGGCAGGATGCCCGGGGGAGTGTGTCCTGATGTGAATCCGATAGGGAGAAATCAGACGGGCAGTAATTTTTTCTCAATTTTTTTTTTTGGAGAGTCCTATCGCGTTTGCGACCCCTTTCGCAGCAATTACTGTCGCTCGCGAATGGATTTATGGCCGACGAAGTAGTGGCCGAAAAAGTGAATGGAAAGTGTTCTATTTTGGAGAGAGTCATTTTATCAAGCTCCAGGGAGAATGGCGTAGTGTCTTGCTTACTATAAATAATACCCTATAAATTACAAAAATTTCAATTTTGCAAGAATATTACTTTTCCTTCAATTGATGCCTCCATTGATGCCCAATTCAATTGGTGTCCTATTCAGAGAGGAATTGTCACTGAACTCAAGGGATTCAGCCGGGCATCGAGACCTCGAGGTCAATCCGACCACTAAGTGCAGAAAATTTTCAACTGTAAAATCTGTTAATTCCGGGGAGCAAGCGGCTAAAGATGAGTTCCACGGATTCCAGATTGAATCTGCCCTGGATTACTTGGGCAGATTAAATGCAACCCGCCCAGGCGGTGGATTCAATTTTTCACGACGAATTGTGTCGTCCTGGAGATGCCGTAATCGGTTGTTGCTGTTACCATAACGCCCCCCCACAAGAAATACAGGATGGCAATTCGGTTTCTATGGGAACGCTCTGCCAAGCACGTCAGTGACCCCTTCAGACCCGAATTATTTATGATGTTTTTTTTTTCCTGTATAATATGGTACATTGAGATTTGCAAGCAGTCAGAACGGCTGCAAGAAGCAAATTAAAGAAGAAACAAAATTAAAGTGCACGTACATGTGCATGTACACTGGGATAATAAAAAAATCCTACAAAAGTGAGAAATCCGAGTCACAACCGTCCCCATTTGTCCGCAGGCGAACGACCCGCACAGCCTAGAGTTCCTGTCAGGACAGCACCATTGGTACGCGACGTCCCACGCCCGCCCGACCTACTGCAACATCTGCCGCGACGCCCTCAGCGGGGTCACCTCCCACGGGCTGTCCTGCGAGGTGTGCAAGTTCAAGGTCCACAAGCGGTGCGCCTCCAAGGCGATCAACAACTGCAAGTGGACGACCCTCGCCTCCGTCGGGAAGGACATCATCGAGGATGACGATGGGGTACGTCTCCCATTTATTTAGTATTATTCATTTTATGTATTTATTTATTTATTAGATTCAATTAATAAGTGTAATTAATTAATTTAGTTAAATATATCTGTTTTTATTTTTATTACATTTCAAATTCTTCGACAACAGCGATAACGGCAATAGAATGTACTGAATAAAAAAAGTCTCTGAATTCGCCTCTCATATGTCACAAAATCTGTTTGGTTTTTGGTTGCAGAATCTGCAAATGCCGCACCAGTGGATGGAGGGGAACCTTCCAGTGTCAGCCAAATGCATTGTCTGTGATAAGACCTGCGGGTCTGTCCTCAGGTACGACCCCCGTTTTCTATGGCTAAAATTGCTATTTTAAAAATATTTTTTTGCCTATGGGCACGTTTTCAGTCGAGCAAATTCTTTAGCACTCTGATTCGTCCTGATTGTTGGATTTCAGCTGGAAAGCCTGATTGTTGTCTTATGCATCAGTCCTTCAAATCATGATTATTTGTTTTTGATTATTATATTATTATTTGATTATACTCGACTTTTCCCCGATTTCGCACACGCAACAGGTTGCAGGACTGGAGGTGCCTGTGGTGCAAAGCGATGGTGCACACGGCATGTCGGCCCAACTGCTTCCGGATCTGCTCCCTCGGGCCCTCGCGCATCTCGGTCGTGCCCCCCACCGCCCTTCATAGCATCGGTCTGTTCGTCTTTTCCTCTCCGCCCTTACCGCTTTTCTTTCAATGCATGCGATTTGTTTGTTTTTTTTTTTTAAAATGGAAATTCAGTCACCGTCTATCAGTTGGTACATGCCAATCCAGCTCTGCTCTCAGTCTATGCTGAAGTCCAGGAAGCCCATATTAAAGTTCCCTTTTTTTCTTAATCTTTAGCGAAATTAGAATTTTATTATTCGTGCATACTTCTATGGTTTTTGGTCATTTGTGCTTTGCTTCACAATGTTGAAGCTTTATGTAATGGGTGGTTCTGTAATGGATAATGACTGTAATGGATGATCGTCTCATATAGTTTTAGAGTCAGGCATTTTCTTGTTTTTCTCCCTGTTCTGAGTTTCAGCATGGCACGTGTATAACATTAAATTGATGTCAACAAGTAATTAAAGACTCTCAATCAATCTGATTGAAATGATCACTTTGGTGTAAGGGATAGATTTTTAAAATCCCAAATTTCAGAATTTTAATTTCGATGCCTCAACATGGAATTTGTGATTTAAAAAAAATACCACTGATCCAAATGATAGCGGGAAGTCTGTCATTTCACCCGTTTTCGTTGATATATTTCCAAAAAAAATCCTGGAAACGGAGCAGAGTTATGTTCTGAAACTCGGCATGGAGATAGGAGGCGTGGTCCTGCAACTAGCTGTTCAATTATTTTGAATAAGATCATCGTGTATATAATAGTACAACATTTACCGGGAAGGGTCTTATTTTTGTGGTAGGAATGGACGAGACCTGGGAGGTGTCGCGCCCCCTCGGCAGCTCCCCGCTGCTGGTCTTCGTCAACTCCAAGTCGGGCGACAACCAGGGGGCCAAGTTCCTCCGCCGCTTCAAGCAGCTCCTCAACCCGGCGCAGGTCTTCGATCTCACTTCCTCCGGGCCAGCCCTCGGGTAAATTTCCTCCTCATTTGCATATTTATATCTATAAAAGTGACATGCGGTTTTGCTGATTCGCATGTCAAGTCCAAATTTCTCTAAACTTATTACAATTTCCGCGTTTTGTTGAGAGAGATTGAGACAAGTGTGTAAGGAGTTTCACAACATTTTTTTAAATCTGTCATTTACTTCTTCAGGATAAAACAAAAACCTTCTGAAATCGTCCTTTCAGATCCGAATGAATTCACGTCTGATGTGGCATTAAGATTTTCATTCCAACGAAACCAGAAAAAATGAATGAAATGGCAGGTTGCAGTCTTGCACATGGTACGAGATGGCAAAGGCATATCGACATTGTGAAAAAAAAATCTCGATGTGGTGCTGTGGCGATAACGTCCAGGCGCCCACAAATCGATATTATCATGGCATCGCTGCCTCTTTCGGGTGGGGACTAATTATTGACTTGATGGTCATGGGAGTGGGAAGAAAAGGGAGGCCACGATTTCCCATTAGGGAAATCGCGATACTTCTCTCCCCCCTTTCTTCTCCCCCCAAATCGATAAAATCGATACATCGCGATGCTGCAGGAAGAAGAGATGATATTGTCCGAGGACGGTTGTAAAAAAATATATTAAAAAAATATCGCAATCTCCCTTTGGCGCCCATCTCCTTCAATTGTTTAAGAATGGCTAAGAATTGCCAGGCATCCCCATGGACCGACGAACTCGGAGTACTTGCCCTGTAATTGCCTTGTGATTGCCCTGTGATTACCTTGTAATTGCTTTGTGATTGCTTTGTGATTGTGCTTGACCTTGAGTCATGCTCGTTGTTGGACTGGACGTAACGTCCTCAAACATTCACATATTCAAATATTAACGTGGTTGTGCTGCATCCGGCTTTAATCCGAGGGATTTCGCCGGTCGTTTTGCATTTGGGAAAATTATTATTATTAGTCCAATTATTATTACCATTTATATTGTCTGTTAGCCTTAAATATTATTTATGAGGGACTCTATATTGATCCTTGCATGTATTTGCATTTTATTTTCTCGAGAGTGGGCGAACAGAAACTATTGCGTTTAAAATTGAGTTTTCATGCAAAGGTTTTTTTTTGTCTGTCATTTTTTGTCATTTTTTGTCATTTTTTGTGACAGACTTTGCCTTTTCCGCGCGTTCGACCCCTTCCGGATCCTGGTGTGCGGCGGGGACGGCTCGGCCGCCTGGGTCCTCAAAGAGATCGACAAGCTCGGGATGCAGGCGAGTCTCTAATCATTCATCCGGCGTCGATCGTTGATTAATCTTCAAATATTGAGGGGTTTCTTTGGTGGAGCAGAAACAGTGCCAGGTCGGGGTGCTGCCGCTCGGGACGGGGAACGACCTGGCGCGGGTGCTCGGCTGGGGATCCAACGTGGACGACGGGGCGCACCTCCCGACGCTGCTCGAGAGATACGAGAAGGCGGCGAGCAAGATGGTTGATAGGTTCGTTTCCGCCTTTTTTTTGGGTGGGGGTTGGGGTGGGGGTGGGGGGGGGGGCGCGCCTGAATTTTTTTGTTAAGTTTTTTTTCCCCCCCCCTTTGTAATATGTGATGTGAAAAGAAGTCATTTGAAGGGTTTTCCCAAATTTTAAAATGTAAACCTAAACGAGAAGTTGAATGTGCTTTGCAGAAACAGTCTCAGTGATTTAAAAATAAATATTAACGTTTATTAAAAATTAAAAGTTTATATACCAGATTAACTTAAATGAACCGAGATGTCGCTGTCGGGCAGGTGGTGCGTCATGATCCGGGAGTCCCATCTGGCCCAGCCGCTCCGGAAGCCGTCGCACATGTACCCGACCCCGTCCGCGTCACCGTCGTCGTCGCCGTCCCCGACCCCGCACGGAGCCGGGGCCGGGGGGGGCTCCCTCGAGTCCCACTCCCTCATGTCGGCATACGAGGAGTCTGTGCTCTTCCACCTGTCCCGGATCCTCAACTCGGATCAGCACGAGGAGATCATCGAGTCCTCCAGGTTCGGGACAAATTTATTTTTAAATATTATTTGTATCTTATTAAAATAAAATAAAATAAAATCATGCCTCTTCATCTTTTAAAATAAATTGAGAAGCGCTTGAAGTCAAGAAAATGGAAATTGTAAAAATAACATTTCAAATTTCTTGACTTCTTGCATTTCTCAGTTCATTTTAGCAGCTTATGAAGTATCAAAATATTATTATTATTTTTTAAATCATATAATATTTTGGCAGCAATGCGCTTTCCCCAGGGATTAGCCGATCAGGTTCATGAACGATATGAAGGATAATCCGTGTAACCCGCAGGATCCTCTGCGAGACCGTGAAGGCGCTGATCCGCCGGGTCGGGGAGGCGTGCGCGGAGCGGACGGTGCGGCACGAGGGGGGCGAGAACTCCATCAGCCAGAAGTGCGGGGTGCTCAACCAGAAGCTGGACTCGTTGCTCCGTGCGCTGCACCAGGAGACGGACGCGTTCAAGGCCGACCTCGACCAGGTCAGTGGATCATCGGTGATTCATTAATAGGGGCTAGTTTTAAGATATGCGAATAATGTGTTAATTGATGATGATATTAATTTATTGGTTAATGGGGGTTTTGTCTTTTGTGCATTTTGTGTTAATTTGTCGTGTTTGTAGTTATTTTAAGGCATTGCAGGTGTTTTAAGAATATTGAATTTAACGGTATGCCGATGAATGAGAATAATGATATGTGATGCCCGAAATGTCTCAATCACGGTCCTGTCAGGATGCCATTATCAGATGAGCTAATATATATATATATGCAGGGTGGGCCAGAAGTAAGGAAACGCATTTGAACAAAGCTTTTATGGAAAAGCAATCGAACTAAACAGTGGTACACACAAAAACACATGTTTATGAAGTATTCAAAGCCATAAATATTTTCATGAAAATTGTTGTATGTGTCAACTGTTAAAGTTTTTTTTTTACAAGTACAGTCTTACAGGTAGTAATAGGCAAACTCGCTGGCATGATTCCACTGGCAATCTCCACATTGTAACAACAATAGGATCCCTGATTGCGGAAGTCCTAGGGTTCATCTCATGCACAATGTCTTAGATTGGACTGCTGAAAATAAGCCAGCTGGAGTCTAATCCGGAGACCATTCTTGTAAAAAAAATTGTAAAGAGACTGTACTTGTAAAAAAAAAAAAAAAACTTTAACAGTTGACACATGAAACAATTTTCATGAAAATATTTATGGCTTTAAATACTTCTTGAACATGTGTTTTTGTGTGTACCACTGTTTAGTTCGATTGCTTTTCCATAAAAGTTTTGTTAGAGTTCAAACGTGTTTCCTTACTTCTGGCCCACTGTGTATATTTTGCATCAGGTCTTGTCGATCTGGACTTCCGGGGATCAGGGATTTTGTCAGGATTCTTGGATTTTTAAGATTGTCGGAAGTATGGCCGAGTGACCAATTTTTTTTGCGGAAGAAATCCGCAGATATCCAGTATCAGAGAAATACCGGATGTTGTTTTGACGAGGGCAAAAAAATGTATCCATGTCAGATCTTGCCTCGGGACACTTACTTAAGAGGAAAGGTTACGTAACTTGTTTTGACGAGGGCGGACCGACTGAGGGAGGAACAATCTGCAAACATTGAAAGTCTCAACGATGAGAGCAGTCCCGATTCCCTCATTCCAGGAAAGGGGATTCATATCCAAGGAGATATCTGCATTTTTTTTTCCATTCTCCCCTCCCCCTCCCCCTCCCCCTTCCCCCTCCCCCTCCCCCCTCTCCCCTCCGTCTCCTTCGAGTTCCTGAGATGTGGGGACGACTCCAGATCAGCGGGGGGAAATGGGCCAAGGGATCAGGGGGTTTTGTCTCTGCAAATGGGAGCTATTGAATTGGAGTATTACGATCGAATGAATGGAGAATTTCCATGGAGGTCTTATGGGATCGGTGGGGTTCCTCTCGTCCAGATTAATGGATGTGCCGGATTGCTTGCATCCAGATAAACAAGAGTTGGCTGCAATCTTTTTCGTGGATCCATCTATCTTCTGAAAAATATTGACTTCTCAGAGGCTGCAAAATTGACGTTTTTCATTCCCCATTAGAACTTGCGGTTATTTTCGATGGAAAAGTCTGACCCTCCAGTGGGGGCTTTCCTCATTTCGTTATAATCAGCTGTGGCTCGGGTGACTGCTGCTGTGGTCCTGGGACTGATACGTTGCTGGTACCATATATTATATGGAAGGCATGACATGTTTTTATCAACTTTTTCGGCACCCATCTGGTTGGGCTCATGAGGAATCCTTCGTCTCTATTTACCAGTTTTTAAATAGTATCGTTTTCTTGTAGAAGAAAATGAGGCTCCAAAAAAAATTTAGGTGGTAAACTTCAGATTTTATAAATTATTATTCATATTAGCATAAAATAAATTTTAAACTGAAAAATCGCTTGAAGTGTCACGGAGGATGGTTCTCCTCTCCGCTTTCCCCCCCCCCCCCCTTTTTTTTTTTTTTTTTTTTTTTTTTTTCCCTTTTTNCTCCCCCCCCCCCCCCCCCCTTTTTTTTTTCTTCTTCATCATTGATATCGCAATGAAGTCTCACTATTTGGATGGGTGGGATAATCTCTCCAAGCTTTAGTCCAGCTGCTTCGAGGGATTATCCGCATTGGAATCTGAGGCGGTATGTCTTGTGACCACGGAAATGTCTGCAGAACCTTGACGAGGTGGAGGAATTGAGCAACGAGGAGGACGATGAGGAAGAGGAGGAGGAGGAAGAGGAAGAGGAGGAAGGGAGAGAGAAGGTGAGGAAGACGGAGGTGGAAGTGGAGGACGAGGACGAAGACGAAGACGAGGACGAGGACGAGGACGAGGACGAGTGCCCCGAGAGCGTCAGGCAGGTGGCGGTGCCGTACGAGTACCGACCTCTCCTGTCCGCACGGCGGAAGAAGGTTCAACACAAGAGGGTGAAGCAGCGAGTGCGGGTCAGTGGACAGGAACGATATCTTGCGTGATTTTGCGTTTTGAGTTGATATGCGGTTATTTAATATGATGATAGCCCGGAGTTTTTTCTTCGGTGGAGGTCCTGGGTCGATTTTTCCGAACCCGACTCGATCGCCGAACGAGCATTGCGGGTCCGACCCGCGGCCCGCTTAGGCCTCTAAGCTTTAGAATTCGAATTATGCAATTGCACCGACCGAAAACCCGATTGTCATTCGAGCTGCGCGCGCTTTCCGTGGGTCGGGTCGGTCCGTTATGACCCATTTGCGTCCCGTGCAGAGCTCTAACATATTGGACTGAAGGCTCTTCATGCCGAGAGGCATCCTCCAATATTCTTCCCATGCGCGTGGGTGCTTCAAATTCAAACGATGCGCCCCATTTGAATGCTTCGGGACGGAAGTTGATGAGTCTTGTACAGGCGTGAATATTTTATAAGTAACAGCTAGTTGGTATGTATAATATTTGTGGTAAGTCTCATTTTTTATTTATGTATATTTGTTATTAGCTCGTATTGCATTCCAGTATTATCATCCTCGTTTGCTGCGGCATTCTGTCATAAAATCACGCGAGGCTGTATTTTATTCGAGGGTTCTCCTCTCTCTTTCGTGCCGTGGCAGTTCACGGAGAGCGAGGTCCTCATGTCCCGTGCCAACAGTCTGAAGAAGGCCATCCGACAGGTGATCGAGCACGCGGAGCTGGCCCTCGACGAACCCTCGGACAAGGAGGTTAGTGCGTCGGCACGGGTTTGTGCCAGTCATTCGTGAGACTTGCTGGGTTCTTAACCCTTTCAGACCTGAGTTAAGGCCGCTATCGGAGTAATATCCTTTTTTTGCATTTTTGAGCTTTTTCGTGATTGTAATTGAAATTTTCATGCCTTATATGTCGTTTTCATAATTTGTATAAATTTACCATACCATACCATATATTATATATTAAACATTTAGTAAAATAACTGAAGAAAACAAAACTAATGGGTGAAAGAAGGCCTCTGATAGAACTGAGCCATGCATAATTGCGCCCTTTGTAGCGTAATATGGAGCGCAAAGTCACGAGAATCCTAAGAAATTGCCATAGACACGATGTAAATGCAATGTCCATTGGAATGGACGCCAGGTCTGAAAGGGTTCAAATTAAATTTCAGGGTTCTATGATTGGCACAGAGAGGGAAGGCACTTGCAAGGTTGTGAGCAATTCCCACTGGATGCGCTGTCTTTCCAGGGGATAGTTATTATTCAGGTGTATTATTCAGGATGTGTCCTGTGCACATTTGGAGCGATATGTTGGTTCAGACGTATTCTGTAAAAAGTCATTCTAATCATGGGTAGTCGGCTGATGAAGGATAGAAGCGGGTCTGTGAAACCAGGAATAGAAGACTCTTGTTTGAAATGCTCAGTGGTATAACTACCAGTAATTGTTAAATTGGAAATGAGTCAGTGTGCACGCTGATTCGGCTCACAAGGCGAGGTTCTGGGTGGATCATGGTTTACTTAGCAGGTGCCTTCCCCCCCTTTCTCGTCCCTGCTGGAGTTGGATGCCCTCCTTCTCCTTTGCCTCCTGCCTTTCCTCCTCTTCCTCCTCCATCATTGCATTATCGGATTGCGGATGTCTCTCAGGGAGGTGCCACGGGGGAGTCGTCGCTGTCGGGAAGCCCCAAGCTGGGAGGAGGCCTGGACTCCCCGCTGCCCCCGATGCTGTCGTCGCTGCTCGGCTCGGAGGAGGGGGGGCACCGGCGGTACCTCAAGGTCCCCACCCCGCTGCTCCTCTTCCAGCATCCGGACACCGACGACACCAAGTGTCAATATCTCATGGGTCAGTGACCGGTCTGATTGTCTCGTAATTTGCCGTGAATGGGGCAGTGCAAGTTAAAAAAAAAAAGAATTATTGCAGCGCCAATACTCCTGGTAATCTAACATTACGTGATACTGTCAGTATTACAGTACCGTGGTTTCTAGGAAAATATGCAATGGTTTCATTGGATTTTTTGGGCGATGAAGAAATTTGAGAGAGAAAAAATCGATAGGAAGGATAGGTTTCGGATTGTGGATTCTTGAATATTTTATTGGTTTTCATGGGACACTTTTTTAGAGCAGGAAAGAAAGAATTTTGCGAAAATGGATTTTATGCAGACAACCATGAAGTTGCATGCCTGTCACTGAAATCAGTGTATTCCTTAGCGTCTAATTTTTTTTTTCTGGTGGCGAAAGTCCTTTTCTGAAAGTCCTTTCTTGCTTGGAAAAATGTCTGCGTTTTCCCCACTCTTGAACAAGTTTTCCGCAAAAAAATTTTTTTTTCTATTCCTTCCATCGAAATCAAAGAAAAAATTATTCATTCAGTCCGTGTGTCATTCCGGGAAACTCCTGGAATGATGAACAGATATTCGCGAGCGAGGTGTCAATCGAGAGCTTTTGACGTAATAGAGCCGAATTTCGGCGATACGAATGGCATTGTCAGCTTCGGACGTTGTTGCTTTGATGACTGCATGCAATGGTCTTCATTCATATGCCTGAGTTTTGTCGCGTTGCCAGTCCTCATCGCCGGTTTGCTGCAGAGCTTCACGTAATCGTGCAGCATTCAGTTAGTGCTCCATATTGCTTTTCTGAATTTTTGGTGTGCTTCAGCCTTGCATGTAAAGTGCGCACGATTCCCCGTTTCACGATGAAATTAATTTCTGGAATCTGGAAATTCACCAAATTAGAGAATCAATGGATTTAAAAAATAAATTTGATTAATTTGGTGATTTGGACGGACGCACAGTGAAGCGAGCCTCGATGGAGCTGAAGTGCTCGGCGGACAACCTCCTGAACTCGAGCGAGGAGCCGGACGTGTACCGCTACGAGGAGAAGAGCATATCGGCGCTGTCGGGCGGGGCGGAGAGGGGGGAGAGGGGGGAGGCGGGGGAGGTGCCGGAGATTACCCTCAGCATCCCGAGCCCCGAGGAGAAGGAGGAGGCGGAGCGGAAGGCGACCCGGAGGGTGCAGATCGCGCCGGAGTCGTTCCTCGTCCCGCCGGGGAGCCCCCAGGGTCAGTCTTGTATTCCTTTAAAAAATAATAATAAGTTTTCACATTTAATTTAATTTGCTTGTTTGCCTATTGTATAAGTTTTGTATTTTTTTTTTACTTAAAAAGTACCTCGAGTGTGTCAATGTTGATAATGATTCTGATGATCGATTCTAATGATTTACGGATATTTTTTCGCTTCACACATGCATTCTTACCGTTGCAATTCTATAAAAATCATTATATATATATTTAAATCCTTATGCTATATATAAATATTGGGCTTAATCTGTGATGTGTTTGACCGTGCAGTGCCGCGCGAGTCGCGACTTCGCGCCGCGCGCCAACTGGGTCCCCGCTCCCATTCCTTCTCCCACGCGCCCCGGAGCCCGCCCCCGACCACGAAGGCGGGGGGGATCTCGACGCGCCGGATCTCCCACCTCGCGGTGCCGGGGCTGAGGCGGGACATGAGGGACCGGTCGAGGAGCCCGGATCAGCCGGTGTCCGGCGCGGCCGCGGGGGTCATCCGGCGCAAGCTCCCCATCATCAACCCCTTCGTCCAGCTCCCCATGTGGCCGAGTGAGTGGATGTTAAAGCATGAGATCGGTTCATCTCTTTTGATGATCATCTGGAGCGTCAGGATTCATTTCAACTTCGTGGTGTGGCGGTACTGGTTCTCATGCGTGCCGGTCTATGATGTGCTTTTTGTTTTAGCGAGCTCGCTTAGAAGAAGAAGTGAAGCTTCTCGTAAAAATAGAATTGCCGGATGTGCGCATTTGTATCCGTGCTAGGTTTTCATTGCTTTCTTTCCGAAGTTAAAAAATCTCGACGAAATTTTATTAGCGACAGACATGGCAGCTTTGATATCTGCTTCGTAAAAAAAATCATCCAGCAAGAAAAAATCCTAAAGTTTTGGACTGGGAAAATTTGTCGGCCAGCAGAGAGAGGGAATGGACGTTGCTCCTTCCCTTCTTTTGCCACGGTCCCCACGATTTTGCCTGTGCCGTTCTCGACCGTGCGCCGGAAAGAGGGATCGAAGTTGAAATTTTGGTTGGATCTGTTTTCGGTGATGCAGACATCAGTGGGAACAGCGGCGGGCTGATCAGCAAGGTGCTGCTGGCGAATGCGGATGCCCTGTGCGCCTCCGCCCTCCCGCTCATGGGCGTCGATGACTTCTCCATGTAAGACCCCTGCAGATCTATCGGAGTGTCTGGAATGTTTACTCGTGGCTTTCTGCCGACGTACGAGGCGGGGTCGTGTTGAGGCTGGATTTCACGTTGTGACTCCAGGGAGGGGTTCGAGGAGAAGACGGTGATGAGCAACTACTTCGGGATCGGGATCGACGCCAAGATCACCCTGGCCTTCCACCGGAAACGGGAGGAGCACCCGGAGAAGTGCCGCTCCCGCACCCGCAACTTCATGTGGTACGGCGTCCTCGGCTCCAAGGAGATGCTGCAGAAGACCTACAAGAACCTGGAGCAGCGGGTGCACCTGGAGTGCGACGGGCAGCGCATCCCCCTGCCCAGTCTCCAGGGCATCGTCATCCTCAACATCCCCAGGTTTGTGGCTCTTGTGAGGTGGTGCAGGGGGTGGGGTGGTGCAGGGAGTGGGGTGGTGCAGGGATGTTGCCTTCCGTTGCTCTTTCGCGCTTTGCAGTTAGGGTTGGGGCTGTTTGGGTTGGTTGATTGAGGTGGAGGATATTTTTTTTCCCACTGAACTGTTTATGCTGGTGGCAAGAGACTTTCTTTTAGTTGATGTGGCTAGATTCAGGTTTGTCCTGATGGATCTTTTTTTTTATGAGGGAAACATCTTTTAGCAATCGTTGTTGAGTGTAATTTTTTTTTTTAATTCGAAGCTTTCCAGGCATTTTTTTCCAGTTTATTTTGTATTGGTGGAAGCTTGTGAGAGTTAAACCATGTGGTTGTAGAGAAAAATATTATATTAAAAAAAATATATTTCTTGATTTCTCTTATGCATCAGAAATATTGGTCATCTTTATAATCTAATTTTTGTGATGCTGAAGAAGTCATTCTGATGCATATATCAGTTTTACTTAGATTGTCTGCTAAATTCACCCTGCTTTCAAATTAATAAGACTCCCCTTGAAGTTTCAAGAGTTCACTCTGGCAAATGGTATGGAAAACGAAATTAAGAAATTCAAGGGTAGGAGGAAACATATTTGCATACAAGCAGGCCTTTTCCACTTTGAATTAAATTAATTAAATTAGCAATTTTCTGCGTTCAAAATAAATAAAATATATTATGGATGAAACTGTTTCAAAATATTTACATTTCAGGAAAATACTGGTATTTATGCATGATAAATATTCCCTCGTAGCTTCATGGGAGGAACGAACTTCTGGGGCGGGAGCAAGGCGGACGAGGTGTTCCTGGCGCCGTCGCTGGACGACCGGCTGCTGGAGGTCGTCGCCGTGTTCGGGACGACCCACATGGCTGCGTCCCGTCTCATCAAGCTCCAGCATCATCGCATCGCCCAGTGCTCCAACGTTAAGATCTCCATCTTCGGTGAGATTGCGTCGTGTTGTTTTTTTTTTTGTTGTTGAAATGGAAGCGGAGAAGTGGGGCATCATGGTGATTGCAATCAGGGGAAACGGGCTTCTGGTGGGATACTTCGTTTTAAAATGGAATACAAGACTGCTCCTGGTAAAAAAAAAAAAAAAAAAGGAAAGACAAAGATAGGGAATATATGTTGGGAACTTGAAGAAATTGCTTCTTATGTGTGTTTGTGATGGGAATAAGTCTGAGCTTCATTCGTCACGGTGCACTCCTCATTAACCGCACTCATCCGTTTGCACGTATCCACATTTGGGCTGACCTAATGTCAGGTTTGTCCTGACGTTAGCTCATTTCCTCGTAGTGGCATCAGATCAGGCTCGAAAGAAAGAGGAGACTCGAGTCCCACAGTGGAGATGAGATCATATGCGGAGACTGTTAGGAAGTTCTTAAATTACATGGAAGGAAACCACGGATGAGCAGAGAGATCGTTTGGGATGGGTTGTGGAGTCTGGATGGGTGGGACGGTGACCAGGTGTAGAAAGTTTCTCGTGGTGTGCAGGAGGGGAAGGGTTGCCGGTGGAGGTGGACGGGGAGGCCTGGATCCAGTCCCCGGGGATCATCCGGATCGTGCACAAGAACCGGGCGCAGATGCTGTGCCGGAATCGGGTGCGTCGGTTCTTCCGTTGCCGCGTCGCGACCTGGCCGTTTTAAATTTGCATTTGCATCATACGTATATGTTGCTGTGACGTGTAGCAACTGGAGACTTCGCTGAAGTCATGGCAGGAGAAGCAGCAGCGAGGGTCAGTGTCCCACAAACTGGCTGTGAACCCCATCCCGCTCTCTGATGATGAACTCCAGCTCCTCGCCAACCTCCTCGAGGATGCCATGAGCCTTGTTCGGTGAGATTTCACTTGCCACTGCGACACCATTTTTTTTTAATACAAGGTTTAAAAATGTAAAGCAAGTTAAGTTGCTGACGAAGACTTATAAAAGCTTCGACATCAAATATCACAGACCATTTTATGAATTAGATCGCTTCGGAGGAATTCTGCTGGTGTTTCATTCTTTTCCATTCATTAGCTATTATTAATTTCTAAAGTGCCATCATGCAACAGATTATGGAAATTTGCGAGGACGATAAGTGACAAAATGTTATGACGATTTGTTCCGTAGGATTGTGAAGGTTTCAGCAGTGGAGACGCCGTTGATAGGGCAGGAGCTGCTGAGTCTGGCCCACCAGTCCTCCCACCTCATCAACAAGACCTGCCCCGGCGGGAAGATGGCCGAAGGGGTACGTACCCTCGTGTTTTTTTTTATCTCTACGTTTTTAAAGGCCATGCTTGGTATTCGAGGGAGCCTGGTCTCATGCATAGAAGCGTAAAAAGCAATATTAAATCTTGGTTTGCTTTTTCACATGAGTAACTCAAATCATGCAATTAAAACACAAATGATATCAAGGCAGAATTTGCTGTTATGATGGTACGGCTAGAAAATAATACAGGGCAGCCTGACTGAGTGTTTCGAGTTGCTGAATGCGACATACAAGATTTTTACATTTTATCAAATGCTGCCGAGTATGGCTTGAAATGGGATCTGCATGAAATATCCCCACCAGACAGCTTAATAGGTGATCCTCATCATCACAGCCCTCTTTCGTGTTCCCACAGCCTGCCCTGAGGCTGGCAGCGTCGGAGCTGGTCGCGGCCCTAAGGGAGTTGCAGGATGGCACCAACACCTTCCTCCGAGAGAAGGCTCCGAGCGCCGTGCGTTCCTCTCTCGCGAGACTTCCCCTTTTCCTATTTTTACTTTCAATTTTCACGCGTGTTTTGATGAACTTATCCTTCTTTGGTGCTCGTTTTTATTGTGTTTTAATTAAGAATTCATGAAGTTCAAGTTTTTATTAATTTTTAGTGGTAGATTGAAGTTGCATTTATTACATTTCTAGTTTATGTAATTTTCACTCTTTTTTTTTTTACTCCTCCCTCATTCAAGCTATTCTTTTTTAGTTTTTTTTTCTACATTCTTCAGTTTAATCTGAAATGTTTAAAATTCTTCATAATTATGCTCTTCCTGGACAGAACCTGAACGTAGAGACAGAAAGCCGCCTCCATTCAGCACTGGCTCACGTAGAAAAGGACCTCCGCCGCTGCGTCGACCGTGATGGCACCGTCTCCTTCATCTGCGATGATGACCACGTGAGACATTCTATTGCGATTTCGCTCTCTTCACGTTTAAACACTTCTTGGTGATAGATAAAAAGAAAATTAATTATAATACGCATCTTGTGTGTACTTTTAAAAACGAGGGTGCTTCGTGATTTTTTTTTACAGCTGATGGACCGCAAGCGGGGGAGCCGAGGCTTCCTGAGGGGTCTCCTCCAGCGCAAGTCAACAGTCCTCCCGCCGGGCGGGATCGCCGGGCTCGGGAGCGGGACGAGGGAGCCGGCCCCGCGGGACTGGGGCCTGGACGAGGTGGAGCAGTGGCTGGAGCGCCTCGACATGGCCGAGTACCGCGAGAAGTTCCGCACTCACGACATTCGGGGGTCCGAAGTCCTGCATCTTGATCGACGCGACCTCAAGGTCTGCTTTGCAAAATATATCTCCTTTTGCAGTAGCTATTGCATGTACCTGTGGATGTTACGAGTGAATAATTCTCCAGTTCCTGTAGTTCCAAAAATTAAGACAGTCTAGAAATTATGGGGAGTTTTTAGATTACACATAATGTAGGTGTTGCCCTAGGAGTGAGTACTTGATATGACACAACGAGTTTCAGATATATAAAGGCTCAGCCTTGCAGAAAATAATGAACAAAAAGGTCACTAAAAAAGTTAGCATTGGAAAAAGATTGCAATAACAAAACCAATGCATACCCTAAGTGGATCTTACTTGGTTCTGGTCAATTTATGCTAATAATATATTCAATACATTTTTCTTGCTTTTTGTTGTTCTTTGTATGCACTATTGTTTGCTAATTTTCTTGTAAACAAGGATTTTTGTGTGAAATGCTCACTGGTACAGCTGGACCAAGTAATGAAGAATAAGGAATTTTTTATATTGTACACGCCAGGGCAGATTGTTTCACGAATGCAATCTACGATTTCTCCGTCGCGATCTAATGCCATTTGGAGCAGAATTTATGGAATTATGTTAGTGAAGCCCTGAAATGTGCAGAAATAACACACGTTGCCGTGCATTTATTAGATTTCCCCTCAGCACTTGTGACTGGATTTTTAGGTGTCTCTTATACAGGGTATCCACTTATCTCTGACGCATTTGTTTTTATTTTATTTAATCAAGAATGGATAATGTATTCAACCTGAAATTTTTGGAAAATTTAATAGAAACTTTGGAAATTATGTTCCAACCCCCAGAATTCACACAGCATTGCTTTTTGTTTGGCAATTAAAGTTTTTCAAATGTCCTTAATTCTGATTGATGCATTCTCTCCATAAAACCAAAGCATTTTTCATTACTGCCTGCAATGTGTCTCTCTCAATGGTGGTGATAATTTTCTTAATTCTATTCTTTAGGTCACCAGCATTCCTTGGATTTGTGTGGTACATATTGTTTTTTTAGGAAGCACCAGAGAAAAATATCAGGGCCCGCAAAGTTTGGGGAAGAAGGAATTTTGGTAAATGAATCATTCCATGATTTGGTGCTGCCCCATGGCTCCATGATGAGCACACTACCCAAACTTGGCAGCCCATAATATATTTTTCTAAGGTGCTTCCTAAAAACTAATGTGTATCACACGAAACCAATGGTTGCGGATGATCTAAAGAACAGAATAATTTCCAATGTTTCATTTAATTTTCCCCAAAATTTCAGGTTGAATACATAATCCATTCTTGATTAATTAAATAAACAAATGTTTCAGAGATATGCGGGACACCCTGTACTAAGACCAAGTCCAGACCTAACCAGGAATGGTTTAACCTCTATTGCAAAACTTTGACAATAAATTTTTCTTTTACATGTGTCTTATTACAGGCATAGTTATAACTATTTATGGTTACATATATAGTTATATGTTAGTTAGTCACATATATAGTTACATATAGTTGAGCTGAATTGTGTTCTTCAAGTAACAGCGTGTAACTATGAAATTGAAGTGAAAAATGTTGAATATATTGAGAAAATAGGGTATGTTACAGAAAGGTCATGCGGTGCAATAGAGGGTTAATAAGGGGTTCAGACAGGCTAGGAGAGATACTCAAAAGGTCCGTCGTATATTCAAGAATAGACCATGTGATGAAAATAGAAAGAGGTTTGTTAAAGCCAGGAAAATATTATATATTAATAGTAAAACCAAAAATTAGGACAGGAAACAGAGAATGGTGGGAAGGTTTCGTGGCAAAGGTGAGAAGATGGCAGGGAAAGGGGATATAAGGAGTTTCTGGAAGAAGATTAAACGTGCTGTAGGTGTTGTCGAAGGATTTCTGTGAAGAAAGAAATTTTAAATACATAAAGAGTCAGTCCTGAAAAAAATAATAAACAGGAAGGTCGCTAGCATTTAGAAAAGACTCCTTGAACAGAATCAATGCATAGCCTAAATGGATGTTACTTGGTTCTAGGGAATTAATGATATTTAGGTACTATTTTCCTGCTTTTGTGTTGTACCTGGCATGCTCAGTTGCTTCTGAAATTACACGTAATGAAGGAATTTTGTGGGAAATGCTCACTGGTATTCCGATGTTGAACATACCAGGGCAGATCGTTTCGCGACTGCAGTCGACGATTTCTCTGTCGCGATCTAATGCCATTCGGAGCATAGGAAAGCCCTTCTTCACTTTCCGACTCCCTTTTCTCTCGATGCAGGAGCTGGGGATCACGAAGATCGGGCACATCAAGCGACTCCAGCAGGGCATCAAGGACCTGAAAGCGCTCGACAAGCAGAGCGGGAAATGAGTCTTCACCCGATCGCTTCTCCGTTACTCTTAGAAGTTTTGCTTCCCTTGTTGTTAGATTGGCAGCTGCTGGCAGTATCGCCATACCCCTTTTTGCACTCGTGCGCACCGTTTGTTATCCCCACGTCCACTTTCGGCATCTGTCAGTGCCAAGTTCGCTTTCGTCATTCGATACGGTATTCGAGTTCGACACGGTACGGTATTATGGAGTGGCCTTGTCCGGGGGAGAAGCGAAGGAAAGGAGGAGAAGATGGAAAGTCTGCCATTTCTTCAGAGTATTTCGTGTGCCAAAGAGCTCGAGTTGTTATTCGTTCGACTCTCGACGCGGAAAGACTTGTTCGCGAATCTCGACGTTTTCCCAGATCTTCCTGCTTCTTCCAACTCGCAACATTCCAGAATCGTGACCCATCCCATTCCAAGCACAAAGGACGACGCCGTGACGGGATCCTCTCGTCGTGCACATTCCCCCTCCTCGCACAAGTTCCGAATCGACCAAGCTCGTCACTGCAAGCAATAGGAAAAAACGGACATTTTCCCCTACCACCCTGTGGTTCGTCTTGTGATAATTTGCACCTTGTTACCCTTCATACGTTAGCACTGTTAGTTACGGACCGATCGTGAAGCGTGCGTGCGACCGAAGAAGATAGTCTTTTTGCTGATCGTGCTCCATCTCATCCATGGTTGATCGTCGACGACGGCTCGAAGGAAGTCATCGTGTGTACGACGTAGAGGGAATTTAGTTGTAGGAAACGTGTTAGTTTATAAGGGTTCGATCGACGGAGGAATTTCCCGACCTTCCTTCGAGTCGTCCGACGTGATGCATAGCCTTACTCCTTCGGGAAATATTCAAAGATTATTCAGGAAACAGGAGAATCGATTGTGGGCCTCATTCGTGGCAGATCCAGTTGATTAAGGTGTGGAAGATGATAGAATCGGTTGATGCACGAAATGAATGGGAGCATATTGGCACACTCCGTTTGAAAAATGAGTTGAAAAAATAATTGGTGTCTGAAAGCTACTCCTAAGGGGTAAACCGACTCAGGGCTGTCATGAAAATACCAACAATCAAGTGGTAAATATTCCAACTGCACAAGGTCTCACGAGTGTGTTTGGACGTTTGAGTAAGAAGTTGAGTGTGTGTGTGTGTGTGTTTGTTCGTTCTTGTTTTGACCATGGATGAAATCGATGAAAAAAAACTGTCCTTGTTTGATTTGTGAAATTCAAGTTTTCGTTGTTTTTTTTTGACTTTTTGTTTTGATATCCATTATATGTGACCCAGTCTGAAAGAGGGACAAAGTGCTGCACAGTTTGAAAGCAGAGTTTCTGTATCTGCGTGTTCTCAACTTTGAAATAAAAGAAGCTGCTCTGAATAATAAAAACACAAACCAATTCCTAGCGAATCCATGACATTACGGAGTTGATGATTTCAAAAAGAAGTATTGAGCAAGACAGCTTCAGCGTGATGCCTCTGAATAAGTAATTCTGCAGGGAGAGAATTGAGATTACTGGAGGCATCGAAACTTGTAGTGAATTTGCAGTCATGAGAAAAAGTCAAATATACACCAAACTTGCACGGTTTTGTTCTGCCGTGGTTTTTAATTCCGCATTTTGTCCCTTTCCTCGGGAAGGGTCCGTTTCCGAATGAATTCGGTGGCTCGTCCGAGGTACAGTGCCGTTCGTGTGAGAATGTTCCGAGCGACCGCGCGCTGACGACTTCCAAATGTGAGCAACTCTGTCTGGCGACAATCACTGCTGCCCTTGTTCCTTCATGTTCCTTTTCTACTTCTTCCCTCCCCCCGAAATGTATGCAACTTTAAGGCATGTTTCTAGAGTTTTTATGCATCTGGAGGTATTCCGAATAAAGCGGAGGGAATAAAGCGGAACCGTTTGTTTTTTTTTTCTTTGAAACCTCTGGAGGAACTGTCCAGAATAATGACGCGCTGGTTGAGTAATAAGTCTGACTGAATTTGCTCTGATCCTATATAAATAAAAAAAAACATTATAAGAATTAGTTCAGAATTTATGGAATTATTTTAGTGGAGCCCTGAAAACTGCCGAAATAGCAACCACACATGCCGTACATTTATTAGATTTTTCCTCGACACGTGACTGGATGTTAAGGTTTCTCTTGTACAGGAAGACCCAGTCGAGACCTAACTAGGAATGGTTTAATGAGGGGTTCAGGCAAACTAAGAGAAATACTCGAAAGGCCCTTTATAGGTTCATTGATAGCCCATGTGATGAAAATTGAAAGGGGCTTGTTATGGTATGGTGGGAAAATTTCATAGCAAAATTGAAAAGCATGCTAGGGAAAGGGGATGTAAAGAGTTATTTTTTCCTATATTTGCATATATAGGAAATTTTCCTATATTTACAAATATAACTTCGCTACAGATGTTCATCACCTCTTTTCCCAGAAGACATGAGCGAAAAAGAAATTACATTGGAAAATGACAGCATTTTTCATGTTATTCATAACACTCTCATGATACTAAAAATGGGATGAAAATGCAAATCTAGAGAGACCAAATTGGACTACTGGAACTAATGCCAGCATGTGCTTTCCATGCATACTGACAATTTCAAAGTAGCACAGTTGTAAAGAGTAGGAGTCAATTGTTCACATTTGAATGATATCTTAAAATTAACATTAAAAGATGTGTACAGACTTCTCGTTTAAAAATACATTTTCAGAACTCGTCACATCTGACACCGTCACACATGCTTACTTTCAGTTTCAAGTGTTGTAATCTTGTGGTGACTTACACTGATTCCAGGCTTTTCATTCATTCTATGGAACGAACATGAAACTAAATTATTAGGGTCCGCTAGATGACAGATATGTGAATATTAGAGCAAGTGACATTAACTTATGGATTCACTGCCACGTCTGACACTTATCTTTGCCCATAGGTACACCTCTAACAAAAGAGAATGCAGAACTTTGGATTCCTTTTCCTACTTCTTACCCCCTCCCGAAGTGTATGCAAATTTATGGCATGTTTCTGGTTTTTTTTGCATCTCGAGGTATTCCGAATAAAGCGGAGCCGTTTCTTTTTTCTGTGAAGCCTCTCAAAGTACTCGTGAGTTCTTCCAGAAGAATTGGCGCACTGGTTGAGCAATAAATCTGGCTGTACTTACTCTGGGACTACGGAGTACTAGAATTCAGAAAGTAGTTCAGAGTGTATGAAATTATGTTCGTGAAGCCCTGAAAACCGCAACAATAGCAATCAGACATGCCGTACATTTATTGTATTTCTCCTCAGCTCATGTGACTGGATGTTCAGGTTTCTCTTATACTTAGACCCTGATCCCAAACGATAATGCTTTAATAAAGGATTCAGGCAGGCTAAGAGAGATAAGCGAAAAGCCCTTCATAGGTTCAATAATAGCCCATGTGATGGAAGTAAAAAGTGGTATGTCGAAGGCAGGAACGATTATATAGAAAAACCAAAATTAAGATGGGAAAGAGAATGGTAGGAAAAGGGAAGTAAGGAGTTTCTGGGAGATTATTAAACATGATGTAGGTGTTCCCCAGGCATTCATATGAAGAAGTAAATTTAGATACATAAAAAGCTCAGTCCTGCAAAAAATAATGATCAGGAAGGTCGTTAAAAAAAAAAGAAGTTTGTATTTGAAATAGATTGCTAGAACGGAAACAGTGCATAGCTTAAATGGATATTATTAGGTTCTAGTGAATTTATGATGTTTAGATACTTTTTCCCTGCTGTCTGCATTTGCATTTTAAAAAAGATGAAACCTTTTCCGTGAATTGCAAGATATGTTTCCAAATCATTATTTAAATTGAAATTCAGGTTTTGGGAAAATTGTTCTATGCAGTTCTTGAATACTAAAAATCGCTGTTTTGGAAATTTAATCATCCTTGTTTCAGGGTAATACTGCTAGTTATAGCTGGTAGCTTTTGAAGTTTCTTTGCAGGATCATTTTTTTTTATCAACAACGGTCAATACAATCTTAGCCTATTTTCGTTGTTCAACAACTGTATGGTGACTTTTGGCCCACTATGTATATAAATCGCTCCTGTGGAAGACGATGAGCTTCCTTTGGCAGGTCATTATCATCCGCGAGGCATCAACTTTATGGACATTTATTTTTTACGATGAGTTTTTCTTGGTGATTCTTTTGATGGGCTTCGTTCAATTAAGTGGTTGGCGGGGGGGGGGGGAATGAATTAGTATGAAATCAGAGAGAAATACTACCGATTTATTTCGAATATTTGGCCTTGCTTTGGCGAAATCAATTCGGCTCAAACTTTAACTTTTCCCGAATGCATCGGCATTGCAAACCTGCCGGCGCCACCGACAGGTTTGCAAGCTTCCGGTGTCGATGCTCAAAGGAGAAGCAAAACTTGCAAAAAAAATTCCCGTGAGCGCGTGAACCCCCCCACCCCCCCTCCCACTGGAAGCCAAAAAAAATTATATTTCCGCCTGATTCTAGGACTGGCGGAGGAAAATCACCGTCGTCTTTGCACCTCCTTTCATGCTATGCTTTCGCAAGAGATCTGTCGTTTAACTTACAGAGGTATTACGCTATCCACTGACGGACACATTGGACTAAAAATGGACTCCATCGTCTTCAGGAGGGCCACCGATAAGTATCACGAGGTTTCCAAATATGCCTTTTAAAATTAATATGTAATTTAATGTTAATTCTGACATTTCAACCCGCAATCGGCTCCGCCCGATGAGTTTGAGATGAAAATCGGCTATCGGCCCACCGGCTTAATGGGACCATCGGTACAGCCCGACCTGGAGCTTTCCACATCGGAATGCACGTGTCGGCTGGAGCCGCACTCCACCCCGAAGGAATTCATGCTCCACCCGAGGGAAGGTATGCCCCAACGAAGGAAGATATGCTCCACCCGAGGGAAATCATGCTCCACCCGAGGGGAGATATGCTCCACCCGAGGGAAGTCATGCCCCACCTGCGGGCGGATCTGTTTGATCTGGCATCCTCCACCCTTATTACCCTCACTGCTATGTCTTACTTTCCCATCTCTACCCCGCCCATCCCCCCCCCCCCCCACCATCAGCCCATTTCCGCGACTCTCGGCGCTGTGACGTAACAAGCGATGAAGACCATTCGATCCCTTATTTTGTCATAGATTCGAATGTCGAGGCAGGTTCGTCCGACAGAAATTCTGGAAAAACAGAAATCCTCGTGATCCTTCCAACAAATTACTTTCGTTTATTACCGAATAAAACAATAATTACCCATAAAATTTCAAAAGAAAGATCGGCTGGGAGAAGGATCCGACGAGGCAAACTCAGATTCAGATTAGATGTGAATTTCGTTCATCTGAATCCTTTTCTCTCTGTCGAGCCACATTCCCCCTCAAAGCCAAGTGGACATGGCCAACCTGGTTTTCCTGAAGTCAGCTCCGAATCAAGCAGGGTCACAATGGTGACCTTGCTACAATAAAGGTCACAAGGTCACAATGGTACCTTCCGAATAGCGACCGACTCCAGCGTGCAAAATCCGGATTGGATATGCAACTCGGCCCACTTTTGTCCCATTGGCCATTCTGAGTGTTGGCCTCAACTTAATTTATTCAAAGTCATTAGGATCTTATGACTTCCTTCGTGTCTTTCATGAGTTTCCTTTGATGAGTTTGCTCCAGTCGGTTACAGGTTTGTGCCATCCTCACGATGGCAACGTACCATCATTCTTACTTAATAATTAATTCTTTTACTAAATTAACTAAATAATTAATTCATGCATTTATTTTTCTCTCTTTCCTTATAGAATTGCCAATAATTATGTCATGAAATAAAGTTGTAAAACTCGAAACAATTTTCCTCAACATGCAATATCATGATCAACAAGACATCACTAGAAATATAATTTCACAAGAGTTATGAAATAATTGATATTGTTTCAATCCAGCCCAATACCCCACAATGAAAGGAAGAGAAAGTCCTGGAAGATATCAGAGTAGAATAGGATGTCCATTCCTCCTTCGCCCCTCGTTCACGATAATGGTCTTCCAATTCCCGTAAAAGTTCGTCTAGAGAAAGAAAGAGTTCTTCCCTGCAGGACAAAGAGGCGAAAAAGAAAGGACGATCCCGTTCTTCACAGCGCTCATAGCTGATGTTTCGGCTCCGAGGCACGAAGGCGACCGACCCTTCGCATTTTCCGCATACAGTACTGTTGCCTTCAGTAGTACTAGTGCTGATGAGTCGTAAAAAATCGTGCAAAGGATAAAGGATGGGTTATTGCTGAATGTTATTGCACAATGTGATCTCTGGCTTCGCCTTTGGGATAATTAGTCTAATTCGCCGTCCAACTGGACAAAAAACGTAATATTAGTAAATTGCCTTCACCTAACAGATCTAACCAACCAATCACCTAACCAACACGTCCTCAAACAACGACGAACCACGATGAAGACTTGAATGCAAAGAGCAAAAAAATGAAAAACTCTTTGCCCCCAGTGAGATTCGAACTCACGACCCCTGGTTTACGAGACCAGTGCTCTAACCACTGAGCCATGGAGGCCTCCGTTGCTTATTGACGAATGTCAGATTAGATCAACTCGGCGGCCAGATGGAATCCTTCAGTGGCATAGTGAGTGGCGATTTTATTGCTGACAGTTTCCATCGAGGATAACAGCTTACATTTGCAGATGAACCTACACTTGTGGCTGGGTTGCCTCGTGGGTCTCCCGGCATCCCAGGAATGCGGGGGGGGGGGGATACTCACTGATATCGAGGACGAAATCAAGTCCCCGGAATATCCCTCACCTTATTCCCCTAACAGCAACTGCCACTGGGAAACTCAGGTGAATTCAGAAATACGGTATTGAAAGATGCCGCAAGGAACCTCAAAAACGCAATTTGCGATGATCCGAGTCCTAATGC